GCTGCTGCTGCGGCTGCTGCTGAAGCCGTCACTGCTCCGAAACAGGAACTTGCCGCATAATTCCTGCCCGCACAGTGTTCGACAGCATGATTCCCCCCTTCTCTGCCTATTATTACCTCATGTATTCACGCTTTTATTTTCTGTATGAACTCATCTCCTGCGATTGCATTACCCGGTGTTGAAGATTGCTCTCGGTTGGTTTTTTTTTCGTGTTGTTGTGTGCTTAGAAATTCTAGATTCCCACCTTCTTATGCTCTTTAATTCAAAAGGCACATACCATCCATCTTCTATACTTCTTTCTCCCTTTGTAAAAGAACCAGAACAGCTCGATGGACCCTCGGCCACGAAGTAGCGTAATATCGACGGTCGCACTCACTTAAAGTCAGACGACTCTAGCCGGAGGCGATAGCCTTTCTAAACTAAAACAATACTCTAAATCCACGAGGGAGGCCTCGACCGAATGAAATAGTAGGGCTCGGCTACGACGAGAACGAGAACGACCCATCCCCCACCTCGCTTCGCATCTCTGCTGACTCTATTAATGAATCCAGGCAATTGGGGGGGGAAGAGAGACACCGCTCCAGGCCATTGCCATTGCCATCAGCCCTGAACATCTCCAGACAGAAAACAAAAAAGCTTTTCGGATCGAGCATGCGTTCTTTAGAATCGCCCAGGCGGGTACCCATATACAAGCGTCATTCATTTTCTGTCTAGTTCTATTTCGACTCCTTTGCTTCTTTGAAATGACGTGTATTTGTATGTGTATGTTTCCTTTCAATCGTTGGAAGAGAGGGGGGGTTGGTTGAAGAAGAGAAGAGAGGAAAATGTGAAGGGGAAGCAGCAGCAGGGGTACCGCGATAGATAAAAGCTCAGATAACGAGGAAATGGAATGAGGCGAATTGGTGGTGTAATTGCGCCGATAGTGTATCCTTTGAGTTGAAAAGCATCTCCATATGATCAAAATGCACAAGACACCGGTCAAGGGAAAAGAACAATTATCGAAGTAGATAACCACAGATGGGTTTGAGGACGGCGAAAGCAGAAAGATTCGAGGTTCGCTGATTTAGATGTGTAAAGATTCCTTCTTTCATCTGCCATGCAGGGCCCCAGGGTCCTTTCTTCTAAACAAGAACGTAACGTAGAAAAACAGAACTCGCCAAGCCAAGTCCTGCGTATTGAACAAGCGTATCATCACAAAACGAAGGGGAAAATAAACAAAGTACAACCGGAAATGTCTATCGTCAAAACCCAAGCTCACATATGCAACGCAACAAATCATGACTGGTGCTCCATATCCGCAAGAACCATATTCTCGACCGCCTTCATGCCCGCATCCTCCGCTTTCTTGGATTCGGCGGCGTCCTCCCCGGCCACCGCCTGGTCGAGGGCCAGCTTCGTCTGGCCGAGCGCGTAGATCTGCTCCTCGATGGTGTCCTTGGTGACAAGCCGGATGACCTCCACCTCGCGGGTCTGGCCGACCCGGTGGGCGCGGTTCTCGGCCTGCACGTCTTCCTGTGGGTTGAAGCTGGAGTCGAAGATGATGACCTTGTTGGCACACGCCAAGTTGATGCCCGCGCCGCCGGCCTTGGTCGACAGGAGGAAGACGGGGATGTCGGTGCGCTCGTGGAATGCATCGAGAATCGACTGCCGGTCTTCGACGTTGGTGCGGCCATCCAGGCGCACGAAGCCGAGCTGTTCGTGCTCCAGCACATCCTCCAGGATGTCCATCACCATGGTGAACTGCGAGAAGACGAGGGTCCGGTCGCCCTTCTCCTGGAAGCGCCGGAGGAGCTCGCAGAGCTTGGCCACCTTGCCCGAGTCCATCCACTCATTGTTCTTGAGGGCGAACCGGCTTAGTGCCGGGTATTTCACGCACATTGAGTGGCATTCGTAGTCGTTGTAGGGTTGAAGTTCCTCGAAGATGATGTCCGGGTTGGATTGGGAAAACTGTTCCTCTCTGAGGCAGGCCTTGGCCATGCGGCTGAGAATGGAATCGGTGTAGTGGCGTCTGTACAGCAATGGGTGAATGGCTGCTTGGCGGAGTTTCATGAGGATATTAGCGGATTTGTTGCCAGTTTTCTTGCCCGCGGCGCGATCCGCCAGCAGCTTCCGAACTTCCTCCTGTTCATGCTCGTAGATTTGTCGTTGCGCGTCGTTGAGTTCGCAGTACTCAACATGGGAGATCTTTGCAGGCAGATCGATGACCTGATGCTTCTTGCGTCGTAGCACAAAGGGCTTCAGCATCGATTTTGCGCGTTCAATACGCTGCGCGGAAAGCAATGCGGAGTGTGACTCGTCGACGGTCTTCGCTTTGTTCGCGAAGATGTGATGGAGCTCATCCTTGCGCTCTCGGAACACTTTGGGAAGAATAAATCCCAGTAAGGAAGCCAGCTCTTGTAGGTTGTTTTGTAACGGTGTACCCGTCAATAGAAGTCTGAAACGTGCCGGGATGCGGATCAGCTTCTCGTATAGCACCGAGGTACTGCTCTTCAACATGTGTCCCTCGTCATAGACACAAACGCAGAAGTCCATATTGCGTAGGAAGTGCGCATCAACCTTGCCCTTCGCGATAGTATAAGTGGTGATGACAACGTTGATGCTGTCTCTATTATCCTCAATCGTCTCCCGGATCTCCGCACGCTCAGCCTGGCCGGCATAATAAGGCATGACAGAGAGGGTAGGGCAAAACTTCTGAAATTCACGCAGCCAATTCTCAATGGTAGATGCAGGTACGACAATGAGATGTGGCCCCTTGAATCCCTTCTCATAAAGATGAGCCAAGAAGGCAATGACTTGGCAGGTCTTTCCCAGACCCATATCATCGGCCAAGATGCAACTCAACTCGTGTTCGAACAGTAATGAGAGCCAGTTGATACCCACAATTTGATAGTTCTTCATCTTCAAGTCATCTCGCATGATTGAAGGCTGGGAGATGAATCGTCCTTTGCGTGCGGGCGCCACCCCACCGGGCGCGGGCCCGTCACTATCCTCATCTGAGGGTTGGCTTGCTGGGGTTCCTATGCCGGAGTCATGCGACTGAGAATCCCTAGGATCGATGGATACCAGCTCCAACTCTCCGTCTTTCTTCCCGAAGATATCCACTCCCCATTTTTTCATTTCCGCTGCAATCGGTTTGCCTAGCGCTTCGCAGCGCGCGACGAGAGAATCGACGGCATCGTAGCCCACCCACATATCAACACACTTATCCACGATCTTGTCGCCAATTGGCTTGGGCGTTTTGCGACCACGGGCCCCCTTCGGCTTCGCGTCTTCCTTCACGGGGGCAGGCACAGCGCGGACCTCGTCCAGAGACCTAAATGGCCGGTGCGAGATTACATGCTGTGCCACTTCCTCGGTGATAGCAGCAATATCCGCCAGGTCCAAGACGCTGCATGTGTTGAAAAACTTCAGTAATTTGAGATCGAACTGCACATCGCCAACCGCTTCCTCGACGTCCGAGTCGGAGTCATCGTCGATGATTATGGCTTCTGGAGACTCCGAGCGCCGGGGAGTTTCCGGTCTGCGCCCCTGCACCAGACGACCCGGTTTCTTGGGAGGGGTTTCCGCATCAGGTTCCGGGCGAGACTGGAGACGAGACTCCGAGCGCACGGGGCTCGGGGATGAAACCCGGGTTTTGGGCCCCCTCATTAGCCGTCTGCGCGGTTTTGCCTCATCGTCCTCCGCCTGCGCCGCCGCCGGCTTCTGCGCGGCGAGCGTTCTCTGCAAGTTCGCCGCGGACCATTTGTCCTGGATAGTCCCTCTCGCCTTGATTTGCTGCTTCGCCGCCGGGGCCGCATTCGACTGGCGCGACATGGACAGTTCGTCCTCGGAAGAGCCATCCTTCCCTTGCGCACTGGCCAGGAGATCCAGCGCATCCTCGTAGTTTCCGCGCTTCGCTACGAGCGCTTGCACGCAGGACTGCACGGACTTCTGCGGCATGACCTTGAGCATTCTTTGCACCTTGATCTTGATATTATAGTCCTCGATACTGTCGAGCGAGTACTGCCCGTCGACGGGCTGGGCGCGCGAAGGGCCATCCTGTCGAACTTTCTTGACGGCCATCCCTTTCGGCGTGGGGTCCATCTGCGCGGCGGGACGTTTCGCAGGGTTGTAGATAGCGCTGGTGGTGATCTCCTTGAACCGGTCGATCGGCGAGTCCGCGACCTTATCCGGACTGCGCGAGGATTTGGTGAACATGGCTGGTTTGATGTCGGGATTTTGTCGGTTCTGGACATCCTCGTCGGAGGACCCGCCTCGATACGTGGGGCCGTCATCTTCGAGATCGATGACCGGGGCACGCTTCGCCGGGCCTGCAGAAACCGGTGGCCGGAACATGGTGCCGCTGGGGGCCATCAGGTTGGAGAGACGGCCAGCGTTCGGGGTCGGACGGGAGGGGGAAGAGGTAGGACCTAGCGGGGAAGAGGCGGCAACTTGTACCACGGAGGTGCCCTTCGCAGTGTACGGATTGTCAATCAGCTGGGTCGGTTGCGTGAAGCGCTGAGAGGCCGGGGTCAGCGATTGAGTGGCCGCCGGTTGGTAGTGAGTAACAGGAACGGTGGCGACCGTCTCATATTGGGTATCCTCTTTGGTTGGAGTACCGGGAACGACTTTTTTGTCGTTCACAGGGGAGTCAGGCACAGAGTCTTCCATGACGGAATGACTCTTCAAAGAGAGAATTGGGAGTTTAAGAGAGTGAAAACAGAAATGTTGTCATGCGCCAGGGGATATTGGGGAAATGGTGAAGTAAAGAAAGGGGGGAGAGAGTCTCTGGTAGAGTGTGTGTGTGAGAGAGAGAGAGGGAGGGAGAGCGGAACAGACGAATTGATTGCCTCCTCCAACACGGTAAGCACCGTAAGTAAAGTTAAGTTTCTCTGGGTTTTTCTCCGCAAAACGCGCCCAGACGCGATCGATCACGTGAAGTGGCGCTTCAATTAAGCCCAGGAAAGGCAGTTGGATGTCGCTTCCAAGTTGTGGAGGGGGAGTGCGGCCAGTGAGACAGCCACTGATCGTCTACATATATACTTACTAGGAGCTTGGTTTAGGTATAACACCTAGTTATTAGATTCTCCTTCATGTTTGTTGCCTGGAATTGTCTATCAAAGTGTTCTCCAAGATCTATCCGATCGGGGACCAATCAGCAGCCCGAATCTACTGGATTCCGGGATGAGTTCACCCGCAATTATCATCACTGCAATATTCAAGTGTTGTTAAGCTGGAGTGTTTATTGTTCCTTCTCCTCTTTTGAATCGGCAAGAAAGGTGTCTTATCGAAAAGATCAATAACTCCCATCTGTAACAGTGTTACACTCTAATTCTTATTCCTGAGCAATCTATTCACACCTTCTCAGACCTACGCTGACACGTGGACCGCCAATCATCAAACATCACCACCATCGCCATCACAATCACTACCACCACCTCCACAAACCAGTCCACAATGTCCGCTCGTCGCGCTGTCGATAAATCCTCTGCTAAGGATGTTGTTACTCCGTCGAAATCCGAGAAGTCCTCTGACTCGGATGTGACCCCTGCAGTTCCCACGTAAGTGCATCCAATTCGTCCCTAGGTTGGGGGGGCTACTCTACGCCACATGGCCCACTGGTCGCGGTTGGCCCCAAGCCCGATATATTGGGAATGGTTGACTCGGCTACCTGGAATACATCAAGTCAAAGCAGAGCAGCTCGTGCTGTCCGGAATAATATGGAGGCATAGCCGTCACTGACAGTTGAACCCCCAGAAATGTGATCATGAAATTGCTGGGCTTCTCCGCCGCCATGGTGATTGCACCTATTGGCATCTACTTTGTCACGGTTGATTTTGTCGGTGGTACGTTGCCCTGGGAGTAATCCTTCTGGAAGAGCAAAAGAAAGGCATGGTATTGACCCAGAAATTCAGGAAGTGCCACTGTCGGCGGCATCGTTGCAGCCATCATGGCCAACATCGTCCTCTTCTCCTACGTCTACGTCGCGTGGAAAGACGACCAGGCGGAGAGAGACGCCGACGCCAAGCAGAAGGAGAAGAAGGCGCAGTAGTTGCGGGTTCCGAGTATGATTTGGTCTTTGTTTTTAAATATCATTCAATACCAGGTGTTTGATCTATGGGCGTTCAAGGGCAGTTGCGTGTATGCTATGTACCTATCATGTGTCTATGGGTGATTGCTCCAGAATATCAATTTGCAAGTCCTATTATGACCGAGCATCGGTGCTTATCGTCAGGCGTAGACCGTTGTTGTCCAATCGCAACAAACACTACGCTAGCAGACTGCCGATACTCCTAGTCATGCTATCGAGGGTTTGGGAGGTGTAGGCAAAGGGCTTTATCGGAACCAGGGTGTAGGGAAACCGCGCCCTGGGATGCGTTTGCTAAGCTTGGAGAAGGGCCGTCCAGGGAATCAAACATTGGGCCAGATTAAGGGAGAATAATTTGATTAAAATCAAGTCGGGCGCCTCTTGACAAACTCCTCCAAGTCCGCCTTGGTCGCCACGCCGAGCACGAACTTCCGCGACGCATCTGTGACAACCGCGAAGGTCTGCTTAGCCCGGGTGGCTCCACTGGCATCGGTCTCGCTCTCGAAGAATTGTTCCAGCTCCTCCAGCGGGGTCTCCATCGTGATCACTTGGTATGTGCCTCGCTTGCGGTTGAACCGCTGCATGGCAGCGGAAACTGAGTCGGTTTCCTTCACGGCGCCCTCCTTCAGCAATTCCTTGAGGCGGGGAATGCTCAGGTATCCGAGGAGAGAGCGTTTCGTCGAGGAGATGACGGTGAGGTGTGTGTAGTCGCGCTCGTACGCAGCGAGTAGAGCAGAGGAGATTGGGTCGTCGGGGGAGACAGACAGCGCCGGGGGAGGGTCAAGGTCCTCGATCGTGGCCTAGATTCGCAAGTCAGTTTTCCGAGAGAGTCCCCATATCTTGGGGCAGCGTTATACTGACACCACGGTACTTGTCGGCCCAGGCGGACTGCGAGACCGGCTGCTGTGCATCCTGAGCGAGCTTCTGTTGGGCGAAAGCTTCACTTGCGCTCAAGTAAGAGGCCATGGTGGGCGGAGGTGGTAGTAATGGTGAAAGTGAGGGAGGGGTACGGGGGGACTGGGGGTCGCGTTCGCTTGGTGATGCACGGAGCTTTCGATTCGACAATGGCTGTCCGGGAGCGAACCTAGAATCCCGGGTTTGGACGGCGTGGAAATGAACAGGTGAGGTTGATATTGCGTGAGTCAAGCATCCACTCGGTCACTGTCAGGTGGGAAGGTAAGTGATCGGGACCAAAATTCAATCCATCGCCGAGCGGGCCTGCCAGTTGGTGGGATGAGCTGAAACGGGTTAGCCTCCGCCTGGCTCCCGTGCGACGTCATGAACCGGCAGAACCGCCCATTTTCTTTCCCTCCCCCCGCCCCCCCCCCAAAGCTCATTGTCATCACTTCCTTTCCCCATTCCTCGAACCCTTCCATCCCGAAGACATCACCGAGGCTCCACACTTTCCGTGGTCATACCTTTCTGTTTTCAGCTCACGTCGTGCCTGGAGACTCAGAGCAAAGGGTCCCAAGCTTGCCGTCGATCAATTCTTCCGTACTCTTTAACTCCGCTCTATCTCCACCGCTGAAAGTGGGGGCCGATTGTAGACATACTCATAGATAAGGAGCCTGTCAGTCCAGCTTTCTGGGATTGTTATCCATCAGCCATCACACTTTTCGTTGTGAATACCCTAACTTGCTTTCCAGCGCGACTGGATCATTCTAGCCATCATGTTTCCTACTGAGGGCGTGATCGCGCAAGCATTTTCCTCTCAACATCCACTGGGACAATCCAGCTCGCAGCCTCAGCCGTCGGCAGCGCCGGAAATGCAGAAGCGAGAGCCATTTCCTGCCTGGAGCGTGGTTGAAGATACCAAGAAAAAGGCAGATGCGCTGGCTAAGGAAGCGACTCGGGAGCTCGACCTTGCAAGCCAGAAGGCTCAAGCCAAGACAGGCAAGATTGAACCATGGACTCCCAAATACTATGCGGCTTGCACTGTCGGTGGACTGCTTGCCTGCGTGAGTATCAGACCATACATGGGATAATCTTATTTTAGAGAGTATACGATCCTAAAGGTACTAATAGTTGCCCCGTGCATAGGGTCTGACCCACACCGCTGTGACCCCTCTAGACTTGATCAAGTGTCGCCGTCAGGTCGATCCTCTCCTATACAAGAGCAATCTAGAGGCATTCCGCACAATCCGTGGGGCTGAAAAGGATTGCGAGGAGTATTTACTGGCTGGGGACCAACCTTCTTTGGTTACAGCGTAAGCGCGGGTGTCCATGCAATCACCCTTTCTTGCTGACTGGTTGAAAGGCCCAAGGTGCATTCAAGTACGGCGGCTATGAGTACTTCAAGAAGTTCTACAGTGACCTTGTGGGCGTGGAAAATGCGACCCGATGGAAGACATCTTTGTACCTGGCGGCCAGTGCGTCTGCAGAGCTTATCGCCGACGTAGCCCTCTGTCCTTTTGAGGCCGTCAAAGTACGTATGCAGACAACCATTCCTCCGGACATCCGGTCGACCTTCACCGGCATCTCCAACGTCGTCTCCAAAGAGGGCGTGGCGGGGTGAGTAGCGTCCTCTATCTGCCATATGGTCGAAAAGTAGCAGCTGACCTATTCAGTCTATACAAGGGTCTCTACCCATTGTGGGGGCGTCAGATTCCGTACACCATGATGAAGTTCGCGTCCTTTGAGACCATTGTTGAGATGATCTACAATTACCTCCCCGGCCAGAAGTCCGATTACAACAAGGGTGCCCAGACTACCGTGGCCTTCACTGGTGGTTATCTGGCTGGTATCCTTTGCGCAGTTGTGTCGCACCCCGCCGATGTGATGGTCAGTAAGCTGAATGCCAACCGTCAACCTGGCGAAGCCTTCGGCGCAGCGATGAGTCGAATCTATAAGGACATTGGATTTCGCGGCCTGTGGAATGGTCTTCCCGTCCGTATTGTCATGATCGGCACCTTGGTAAGTCTTCCTGGGTCTAATCTTAGAGATTCTGACTGACAGCATATCACGTATAGACCGGACTTCAATGGATGATGTACGTATTACCTCATGACCATCACAGTCGACCTTTTCTCAGACAGGAGCTGACCTGTGACAGTTACGATTCGTTCAAGATCTTCATGGGTCTGCCGACGACCGGCGGAGGCCCAGCTGCGGAGAAGAAGTAGTGGTGAGTAGATGCTTTGGCCACTTTAAATGGTCTTGTCTGGTCTGTATGCACTTTTCTAGTCCCTGCAAAACGTACTGTAGTTATCTTTGAGAAGGGGTAGTCAGAATTTCCGTACAATGATGAGATTATTTGCACTTGTGGCAGGCTCAGCAGCGAGCACCGAGGCCGGTGATAAAAACAGGGGCATGGCGGCAATCTGCGCCTGAGGCCTTATCGGCGGACAAACCCGCTTTAGTCACGCATGGAACCAATCACACCCGAAGGAGCATCTTATCAGTATCAAGACGTCATCTCCCCTGCCGCGCATGGCTGGAGATACGATAACTACTGTACCTATGGTACTTACGGATGTGAGTGAACTTAGTAAAGTAACTTCCAGTTCGCTCAGTAATTAGCCGATGGGCAAGACGCCTGGTCCTGCAGCCCTTCAGGTGGGACTGACACTAGAAGAGATTAAGTTTTCCATGGTCCCTTGACCTCGGGTGGGAGAGTCATCTCGAACACTCGAACACTCCGAAGGCGCAGTGGCCCAGCCCGACAAAGTAACTTACCAGGGCCGTAATCCGTTGCGACACGAACTATTATATATTGCGACGAACCTCCTTCCGCCACCATATTTCAGTCACATCTGACACACTCTTGCACTCCCCTTGACATTGAGCACGCAAACAGATCACATAGTCTTCAAACCAAAGACAACTTCACTTCAATCTACAAGGTATGTCAACCCCCCCCCGTCACTCGTTGCGCCCAACCTGTCTACTCCATCGCATCGCATCCCGCTATCGCGCAATCACCATCAGACGACCCCAAATTAACCGCCGAACGTCCCAACCAGCAGACCACAAAACCCACCCTCGCAACACCTCAAAAGAATTGAAAAAAAAAAAAAAATGGGCGAACACGACCCCATCGTATCGCACGGCCGAGGAGGTACGCAATCCAACCCGAACCATCCCTCGTCCCTTGCAAACCTCATCCTTATCTCCCACCCACCACCAAACCCAACCCCGACTCCCCAACTCCCGGACTCATCCATACTAACAACAAGGAACAAACCAGGCCAAGGCAACATCGGTGCCGACTCAACCGAGTAAAACCATCCACCCAGCCCTCGCACCTCAAACAAACACCCTAACCCCACCCCGTTGAATAAATCTAGATACGTCGACGCCGCCATCGTCCGTGAAGGTATCTACGGCGACCAAGGCGACGGCGCCTACTCCGCCGGTGTAAGCCACCCACACCCATACCCTCTGCCCTCACCTCAACCCAAATCTAACCTCTTCCCTCAAAAAGCGCGGCGGAGCAGGCAACATCGGCTCCCCGCACGTCCGTCCCACCTCGAAGGTGCCGCACGACGCGGAAATGATTCCCGAGCTGGCGATCCGGCAGTCCGTCGACGGGGATTATCATACTGGTGTATGTCCCCCCGCCCCCAACTCAAACCCCCGATCTTACGAAATCGGGTAGGATTCAATACAATGCTGATTTTCTTTTGTCCCCCGGAAAGCGCGGCGGACAAGGCAACGTGCATCTCGACGAGGAACACCGCAAGGAGAAGGAGAAGAAGCAGCAGCACCGGCATGATCAGTATGAGGGGTTGGCGGATAAATTGAAGTATAAGATTTTTGGGCGGAAGTGAGCTTGAGGCATCGCTGTTGGTGGTAGATATGGATTGGATGAGATAGAGATGAGGTGAGGTGGGGTTTCTTTTTCTGTCTTGGGCTTGGATTTTTCTTGGTTGATTCCCTGGTTTGTTTGGTTGTTTGCGATTGCGAGTCGGATACTGGGGAGGAGGTATAGTACTAGGTAGTGTTGGTAATAATTACTCCATTTTGCTGCAGTACTTCCCCATACACCGTCTATCATAGGTATAATGAAAACACCGAAGAATCGAAGTATAAAGATTGGATCGAATGAAACCAAGTTCTCGTTTCTTTTGTCCATTCATTAAAAAGGATCGGTAGATTCGCCATTGGTATCGGGACAACATCAGAAATCGATTGGAGGGGAAAAACAATGCCTGGGTAAAGGGGGGGGGGGGCAGGGGTTCCATCAAATATCATAAAAAGGAGAGCAAGGCATTCCGTGTATCATGGTCTCGTCAACCCATCAACCTCATGCGAAATGTGAAAGTAGAAAGGAAGCCTCAGATAATTACACGAGTGAAGTCGAAACAAAAACGAATCCAACTCCTCGAGCGAAAACGTACACAATCCATGCCGAGTAATCCCAGTGTTGTTGTGTTCAGCGCAAGCATGTTGTAAAAGGGAAGGTGTTAAGGGAATCTCCGTTTGAACGCCGGTTTTGACTGTAGTACACCTATACAAAGAAAGGAGGCGAGAAGAAAAAGGGACAAGGGCGACCACCAGGATCGTCGAATCGGGGAGGGAGTTTGGTTTTAGTTCTTGCTGAAGCGACGTTTGAACCAGCTCTTGCGCTTCGAATCATTGCTCATCTCGGTATCGTTTGTCGCTTTGCGCAGATGACGACGGCCGTTCGCCGCCGTGGGCGGTGGACCACCTCCGACGGGGCCCCCGGCGTTGGGATCAACGGCTGGAGGATTACTGCTGCCAAAGTTGATGCGTCCACCGGCGGCGGCGGGCTGACCACTTTCGAAACTGGGACCCGCGCCGAACCCTTGAAACCCGTAGCTCTCGGCCATCTGCTGCTGCTGCTGCTGCTGATACTGTTGTTGTTGCTGTAGTTGCTGCTGCTGGTGGAACTGATCGCTCGAGCTGTTGACCGAACTTGGGTCCGTCGAATTGGCCCAGGTCTCGCCGTTGCTGCCCGAGCCCGAACCAGACGCAGCAGTCACATTGTCGTATGACTTTTGGTATGCGTGCTGCGAATATCCGCTCTGTTCGGTGTTCATCCGCGCTTGGTGGCGTGGTCGCGGTCGGCCGCCGCCGCCATGGTTGTAAGGGTAGTAGTTGTCGGCTTGGCCGTTGCCGTTCTCCACGTAGCTGTCCGGTCGCGAATAGGTGCCGCGGCTGTTGTGGTAGCCATTCTGGTCGTAGTGCGCTCTGCTGGAATATCCTCCGTTGGGCGCTGTAGGGACCCTCAATTAGCACAGTGAAACTTCGCCATTGACAGACCAGCACGTTGACTATGCGAGGCGCATGCCTCCTAGGAGGTGAGGGAGGGAGGGAGGGAGGGAGTCGTACCTCCATAGTAGCTTCCCCGTCGGCTGTACTCTGGCGTCGCGGGTGTTGATTCCTCTGCTAGGTATCATTAATTTGATGCCGGAATCAGCCTGCCGAAGTAAGGGGGATAGACTCACCTGTCCTTGCGTACGACACAGGCCTACTGCTGTATGATCCATAGATCGCAGCTTCGAAGGAACGGATAGTGTCAAGCGGGCGCTCAAATCTCGGGCGCGTTGGATTTGAAAGGTCGGGATCAGCTATTTCAGCAAAGAGAGGGGGCAACAGTTAGTACAAAGGCTCCCCCGCATGAACGAACACATCTGAGACATTGAAGGGAGGTAAACGTACTAATGACATTGCCGTACTGATCCTTGTGCTGCATAGTCCGCAAGGAACCCAGCGTCGACTCTTCCAGAGCAACCGTATCTAGGAAACATAGTTAGTCGGGAAGGTTTGCGCAAAGCCACCCGAGCGACGTGAGAACTTGGCGAAAAGTGGAGTAAACAGTGTTTGGGGATAGAATGGTAGGAAGAAACCAAAAAAGGAGAATTGTCAGGGGAGTCAAGCTGGCCAGGAAGTGCGATAAGGGGGAATTTCCGGGTAGAGACGTACTAGGCTGCGCTTCGCTCATAGCAACCATCGGATCGGCTTTAGTGTTGAGATGACGGCGATGCTTCTCTTCGGCGGATTCAGTGAGTTGGATTTTCTTGCTGGAATGGCCCGACTGTTGAGACTTATTCGACTTCCCACTAAAACTGTAACCCCGATTATGCCTGAGAGGAGGCGCGACCGACTGGGAGGTGGCCATGGTTATTTATCGTCGGGGACTCCTGCTTTAGCGCCTGATAACCAACAACTGCAGCAGGTTTTCGCAGCGCGCTGTCTTAGCTATGGCGGCGGGTGTGGAGCGCAAGCACGATCCAGGTGGGAACTGCCAAGGATCGAACGATGATCGCTGGCAACGATTTCTGCCTTTCTGTGGTTTTCGGACGTTTTTGTTCGCGGTTTCAGAACTGCACGACTCAGTCCAGCCAACGAGAGGAACGAGCGACCAGAACGTGGGGTATTGAGACCACTTTTCTTATGGATCACGTTGCAGACTGCGGAGGGAGTCGAACTTCTATACACGTTCTCGAACAGTAGCTTCTGCGGGCGACGAATTGATTTGGCAGTATTGTGGTTGAGTTGTTCTCTCGTCTCTTACAATGACAGAACAACAAGTTCGACGACGGCGATGCGAACCAGGACTTGGGTAGCGTCGAGTAGCGTCAAGTCAACGAGCGAAATGGGTGGAGACCGTCGCTTTGAAGGCTAGCAGTGAAGGTACGTATGTTAACTACCGAAGACTCCACAGACAGGACAGTGAGTTCTTTTGTAAAGTGATGGTTCTGTCGGAGCACACAAGTCAAGCGATTGTGGTTGTCACACAGCGATCGACAGTAGGGAAAATGACGCCGGTGCTAAAGTAGTGTGTGGTAGGCCGGTTTGAAGAGGAGGGGGGATAATGGAGCGAGTTGTATGCAGAATGGATGGGTGGAGAAGAATTCAACAAAGCACTCAAACGAAGGTCAACAAACTGGCCTCAAACAAGAAGTAACTGAAGAAATCAGAATTCAAGTCAAGCGACCATGGAGGGAGGGTCATTGAGGGTATTTGACTTGAGAATTGGCCAGTGGTGTTGACGACAGGCGCCACGCAATTAAGAGGGGATCACTTCCTGGGAGTCTGGGACCCGATGGATGGACAAATTGAGACTCTGCCTATCAGATGGAGAGCAGACCACTGGGGAGGATCACCGGATCTTCTTTTTTCTTTGCAACGCTTGTTTGTCTCTATTAATACTCTAATGTTCGTATGTGTGCGCGGGCTATGGGTGAGTGGGTGAGTGGGTGGGTAGTCAGTGGTGAGATTGACAGTTTGGGATAATCCTTTCATAATGAATGGATGAATGAAAACTGCCAAATGCACAACTTCTCTTTCTTATCTACCCCAGAAAGCTTCGATCAAGTGTTTGTCCACCACCATCACCATTACTACTAGTAACTTATCACCACCTTCATCTCTCCATTGACCATCCACTCAACACACTTGACTGGACCTAACTGAATCACCTGAATCACAGTCTGTCAATTGGAGTATTGCATAATCAGCCACCTGCATCGCCAATTTTGCCCCGGTTAAAGAAAGATGAGGCCCAGCCTGGGTTGGGGATTGAACTTATCCTTGGGACTATCGGATATCTTCACAAACCAGGAAGAACCGGATACTTAGTAGCCATACTTCGCCCAGTGTTACGCCAGCTTTCCCCTCCCCTGGCCATGACCCGGCCAATCACTTAGGAGGAAAGGGGCCCAACCACCGTCTGGAAGACTCTCGTTGGCTTCAGATCCATGGACTAGGACTGGCACCATGTGTCACCGTATCCCCCCAGGGACGAACCTGGTCCAGATCATCACAAATCACAGATTCGCTGTCAGTCATGGACGGATTGCTTTGTATTGAGGACATTCTCTTGCCGCCTGATCGACCCCTGCTGGGGTGCACATCATCAATGCCGAATTCAGTCGACAATTCCAGACTCGGATCTGGAGTAAGCATGGAAGATCAATCGTCTGCCATCGACATCATTCTGACTCAAATTTGAGGGCCGCTCTCTGCCTTAAGGTTTTTTTTTTCACTCATCACTCACGAACCAGTCGGCCTTTTCCTCTTCTTCGTACATACTTATCAGTTCCAGACGGAACTCCCGACCATGGTTTATTTTTGGCCGGGACTCCGGCCACGCTTAGCCTTTTTGTTCCTTAGTCGCTTACTGGTCTTGCTTTTCCCGTATGCCGATACGACGGACATGATCTGATCCAGTCCGGATTTTGGAGGCACGCCATTATTATTGCAAAGCAAGAAGAGAAAATCTTGATTCATCCACACTGCACGGCTGCTCACTAACTAAGTCGAGGAACGCGTACTAGTCAACTAATCCTGCTCCGTCGGCTTCCAATTGGCCTGGCATGAAAACTTGGAATATGTCTGCCTGTCGCCCTCTCAGTGGCTCGAGAAGATAATGCTGGTTGTCGCAGGTCGGACTGCAACTCGCCTACAACAGCACGTCCCACCGACTCAGCTGCTGTGTGCCAGCCATACTTGCTACCCTTCCGAGACAACGCCACACAAACCCAGCCCCTTCTAATCAGTGGGATGAAGATTGACTATCAGCATCTCTAATGAGAAAGCAGGAAGTTGCTGAACTATAGTGGTGGGGTCATGCCTCGCAGCAATGAGTTTTTTTTTTCACTCGGACAGCCTCATTCGAAGAAAGGTGAAGCCAACTTTAGGAATCAGAAAGAAAAGCTGTACGGTACAGTAGTATGAAGTATGAAGGTCAAAGCAAGGTCAGGCTAAGACATTTCCACCCCCGATGAATCGATCCTTCCAGAATGGTTCTCCGACTCGGTAGCAGCCATCACCAAGCCGCGCGGTTGACGAGATCGTGCCGATCCCTATCATTCTTCCTGCAGTGGGTCACGCTGGGGCGGGGATGGCGCTTACTTTATTTCTTCTTATTTACTCACTAAATTCCAACCAACGCTCTCCCTGCAAGGGAGTCGTCTTTCCATATCAGAACGGTTCTCGCAGCCTTGTTTACCAGGCAGTTGATCTTCGATCTCATCAAGCACGATGTAATCACGCAGCTGTCGATCGACATGCCCTACCTTTCCCAAGTCTAGTGCATGCTCCGATGTAGTGAACATATATATCTAAGTGCAGGATGAACCACACTGGTGTCCTGAACATGTCCACGTCTTGCTTATCGTCAGAAGCACACCGCCGTCCTCTTAATATTTACTCCGACTCGCGCAATCGGGTTGGACACCATCCAGACATTACGTATAGAGAGAGCTGGCACTCCGCCCGCCATCCGAGGAGATCCACAATCAATCAATCAAACCACTTTAGAATGACGTCGTTATTTCAATCTGTCCATGCTTGACTACAATCCGACTACGTTCATCTGCTCAATATCTCCAAATGTCATCGAACCCTGCCACAAGAGAACCCGGCAGTCACACGCTATGGAAAGGCGTAGGACGTATATCTCATAGCAAAATCTCTTGATTCATAAGCTAGAACAAAATCTCCAGAATCCGCGGTATCGGCCCCAGATTGGGGAAACGATGATATATGCTACTGTCCATTTCTCCGGGGGAAAATACATTTATGCGACATCCCCCCAAATTCTACAGACCGTCTACTTCGATAGATCAGAGGTGAATTCGTGATACATGGCAACGCGTCTGTGCGTAAGGTCTGGGGCGAATTCGGTGTGATGCAGTCAGTGAAAGGTACTGTGCCATTCGGGATAAGACAGAAGAGACTCTGTTTGTGATAGCTGCACTGGCGCAAGGGAAGGGGCTGGTTGTGGTTATGGATTGAGTTCGAAGGGTTGTCTTTGAGTTGGCAGTGGTCATATGGGTTCTCTTGTCGGTGATTTCTACTAGGGTTGGAGGGGTATGGGACATGTCCACTCCGTGATGGAAAGAGCATTCCTAAATTGATTGATTGCTTGATAGATCATGACGTACATGCTATGCGGAGTCACGATCTGTGCCACAGTTATTTTGGTTAGGACCCGTGCATGAAATCGAATATACCACACCTCTTTTCCTTTTCTCGGAACCCTATACTACAATTTGTGAAGGCGGGTGGGTGGAAGATTGTGGATTGCGAGTGGTATTGAGGCAGATGGGAGGTAGAAAATGCGGAAACTACAATCCGGGAGTCGTGGGCAGTGCGGAGAGGTTGGTTGCGCTGGGGTGTGTTTGTTCCGCGCTGGACTACCGCGTTTGTGGCTGTTATCATGTGCTTGAGTGAACATACCGTGCAACAAGAGACGACAGACATGCAGGGCTTGCGTGTGCTAAGGGAGGGAAGGCAACAATAGTCGCTGGAGCCTCGTCGAGACCTGGATGTGGTTTCTGGTTTGAACCGGGCAGGGCAGGACACAAGTGGGCGATGGAGTTTCGAACCTGAAGTCTACCCTTGCGCATCGGTGGAATCAGTTGCTGGCTACGAAGCAGGCCTGGCATATTCAAACAGGCTGAGCTCTGAGAATATCATCTTTGCGTGTCGATTGATTCGAGATCGGGAAAGGGCATGTGGTTGAGATCGGCGGTTGTTGTTGCATATGGGAATCTCAAAAGTAGAACGAATGCTCCGGATGGTGACACATGCTTGACCGAATGTACCCAGTTAACCCCCAAAAGCCATCTCGGTTGCCAAAAATCGCTCCTGATACGGTCGGTACTACCCGAAACTCAAAACGAATGAAGGATCCGTGGTGTTGAAATGGTATGGATTGTGTTGTTTATGAGCGTCAGTACATGAGATGTGGAAGAAAGCCATGCTGCCGGCCAAGGCACACCAAGAGCCCCCCCAGTACTGAAATTGGATGGAGCCCTTCGTCTATATGCCCATGGTCCGGTAGGTCACCATGCTGGAAAAAAGAAGAAAGAAGTTCTTTTAATTTAGTTTCGTAGGGCTAACCGGCCCTGCCTCTCCCACGAACATTACCAACCCGCCAACTCCATCTCAACATCGGCTCATACCGTCGACTCCTTGCCCGACTGTTTGCGCGAAATTAGATCCGGAGTGCCATCCATCATATCGAAAAAAGGGCGTCATTTAGATGTTGGAGGGGTAGAGCATGACACGGACGGTGGCGCCGAGGGACTTGGGGGGGAGGTTGTGGCGGAACTGAGCGCGGACAACACCGGAGTTGCCTATTCATCGACCGTGTTAGTGGCCTCGTTCCTGAATCACCGCAGCACCTGACTTCTCCTCTCGCTGCGCGGATCTCGACTGTCGTCCTCTTCGCGGATGAGGTTGATTCGTTTCACGTACCGTGAGGGCGGGTGACCTTGCCCCAGATGACCCGGATGTTCGAGCCACGGACCTCACGCTTAGCCCGGTAGACGAAAGCGACCTTCTTGCCGAGGTAGAAGTTGGCAGCCTCGGTGTTGGTAACACCGTCGATCTGGATCAGACTATATTTTCCAAGATTGTCAGATTCCCATTGTTTCCGACGTCGATGTTCCGATGAGTGGATCAGTACCTGGTGTTGCAGTTGACAGCACGCTTGGAGCGCTGGAAGCTCAGGTGGCGACCCCTAGTGAAGAAATTCGTATTAACCCGACTGCCCTGATTGTTTCCCGTCGCGCTTCAATCCGTCTCAAATTCTTCGGTATAATTCGACCATAACGATATATCCGGGGCATCTTTGCGCGATTCGACGATTCAACGATATGTGTTGGCAACTTACTTAACGTAGACTAGTGGTCGCAAAGAATCAGGTTAGCTTTTAATTTCTCCAAAGATGAATCTCCCAGCACTGCGCTCCCCCGGTTCCGACTCCATATCCCCATATCAAAACAGTGTGGCGGCATCATATATCAAAAAAAAGACCGGAGAGATAGACTCACGTCTGTTACCGTTTTCCGAAGGCATTCTGGCGGCGTTTCTCTGAGCAACAGCGGGCAACGCAAACGAAGTCGAAGGAAGGCAGAAATGACCCGCAAAAAGTCGTCCGGGTTGTCGTGGTTGTCGTCGCTTCAATCGGTTACGGGACGACGCACAAGGCCACAATTTGCGAGGTGTGTTCGGTGCGGCTCGCCCTAACCCCAATTGGGACGCTTAGCGAGTCCGACCGCCCAGGGCAAGGCAAAGTCCCGTGATATGGGGGATAGGATGCAAACGTGCCAAGCCGCAGGAGAGCACCCTAGTCTACTTTCGGCATACTTCGGATAAACCATTTTCTCCAGGATCCGAGAGCTGTACTCCGTTGATGGGACTAGTGGTAGTGTCCGTCCCTCCGTATTCCATCGTCATCATTATCATTCATGATCAGTTTGAAAGAATGTCAAACTTCCGCTCCCCCACCCGGTTATTTTGCCGCCGGCCTACTGTGGTCCGAAAGACCTGCCCCTCCTCCCCCTCTAGAGTCTTTCCGCCGGTTATACTCCGTACAGCGGAGGAAGCTCCAGAGCGTCCGGACTCCCAAGCTGACAAAACAGTTTGTTGTATTCTTTCCACCGGTGACGGCAATTGGCCCCATCTGATATCACCAGACTGAAAGTAAGTGATTGGGACATACTAGTTATCCCGCACTTGCTTGCACTTGCTTTTTCAGACTGCAGGGAGCGGCAGCAGTAGCAGTAGCAGCAACAACAACAACAACAACAACTTGAAGTTTCGGCATGCATGAGCTTATCGCCTTGATTTACCCAACAAGGTCCCTTTTCAGTCCCAAGAACAGGTCGCGGTGCCTAGTCAACTGCATCTGGAGCTTTAGCATGGCCTTTTATCTGCTACTGCCAGGGTAGCGCTACATTTGTCCCCGGTGGATTGACTGTATGGGCCTATGAGGGTATGCGGACTTAAAACGGGGGAGGATGACTTCTTCCAAACCGATCAGACCGGGACACTCATTTGGAAATAAAGCGTACCTTAGCCCCACCAGCAATCGGCAACGAACCTGACATGATGTCCTTTCCCTTCAAGCACGCCATTTCATCTTCAAGGTGCTTGCCTCGGGCGTCAACATCTCAGAAAGTAGTATATCCATCGAGGAACTGATGCAAATGCATCAAAGACTGACAGGAACCAAGAGCATGTGGTTCAATAGTGAGGCTGGAATGCAACGGCGATCGAAGTACATCCGTCTCACAGTAGGTGTGATAGGGAGTATAATACTCCGCAAGCCAATCCAGCCCTGACTCGGCATCCTTAGCACCATCTCCGGACTCGACTGGGCCGAAAGTTCGGTTTGATTCACTGTTCCTGCTACACTACGCCCATTTCACGGGAAAACTAAATCCGTATCGTCCTTTTCTGGATGACAAATTCGCCGATCTAACCCCACGACGCTGGTCACCGGAGACGCGGATTCAGGAGTCTCACAGTCTCACCTGGTTTACCGCAACCCCCGGCAACCAATAGCCCTTCGCTGCAGCTTCTGGCGCGATCTATACGGTTGCAGTTGTGGAATAGCCTGAACATCGGCTTAATGCATTCTGCTGTTATCAGCACAGTGCTGAAAAACGGTTGAATCTTTCACTAGTATGTAAGATGGGGATTGAAATTGAGATGAAAAGAGGGGCAGGCGCAAGCTTTATGTAGGCGGGATTCTCTCGGATTGTATCCCCACCATGTTGTCCTGTAACATACCGGATGAGTAGGTAGATTGCCATGACCTTGTCCTGTGGTTGGGATGCGCCGGGTTGAATACGATCCATTGTTCCCTATCTTAGTCCCCCTTAGGATCGAAGCTGACCTGCATGGCTTGAAGCTCCACACGGTCTTCATCCAACACCCCGCCGATATACATTTCATGTACGACGACGGGATCCGGGAGGAAGCTCTCGTAACCCCATGCTCCTCAGTCCATAAGGGATACGAGTAGAAACAAAGAGGCATGTCAGATCGGAGTTGGAGGGGGTCAAACGAACTATTGGATCATGGTGAACGCGGGGTGTGTCCCATGTGACTCCAAGATGTGCTTTCTATTCGAGCTTCATCCGCCTCCAGGTATGGAATTTTGAGCGGAGGGTCAATCATTCCCCAGATTCATCCAAATGGGCTGAGAGCAAGCGTGGCTTTTTTCTTTTTTGTTGTTTCTGGTGGTAGAGCTATAATAGTGCTGATGGGGCACCTGAGCGGAACGGTCGGGAATTTTTATTATAGTATCTCTGTAGTTACTCGTACATCAACTTCGCAGTATGTTTCTGTTACCAAGCAATGATATAATCTCGAGAGTCATTGCCACAGGGTGGGAACTGGACCGGAGCGGGAGGTTGGTTGGAACAGATGGAATCAATCAACTATAAAAGCGGACAGAATTTCCTACTCCAAGGAGATGCGCTCGAGAAGAGAATTTACCGAACTACGACGAGCTTTCATGTCCGAAAGTAAGACGGAGAGAATTAATTGAGCAGAAGAGAAGAAGAAGAATAATCAATCAATCAAATCAATCAATTCCTGAAATTGAATTGAATAATTTACCTTACAGTCCTCTCTCTCTCACCCTCACCCTCACGGGGTCCCGCGGCAGCGCAGCATCGACGTAGTGGAAAGAACAAGTGCCCCACCCGGGCTCGATTGCTTTGCGCCCGCCCACCTTTGCGCTTGTTCCAGCAAGAAGCAGAGCAGAACAGCAGCAGCTCCCCCTCCGGCCATCTTACGCTACTCCCGTCGAGCCCTCACGCTCTTAAAAAGTACTTGCTCCGCCGGACTTGTTGGGAAATTTCCCTTAAACCCTTTGATTCAGTTTTCCTACCTCTTCTCTCTTCTCCTCTCCTTCTCTCTCTCTCTATCTGTGATTTATTTACCCTACCTACCCCCTCCTCCCATCCCATACCGACTCAACAACCCCACCATCCAAAGAACAATGGCCAGCACGATAGCCCGCACTGAGGAACGCCAGAGCGCTGGGTGAGTAAAAGTAGTACTACTAGTTACTGCGAGTCTGCGACCTTCCCTCGCTGACATCACACCCCTCCTTCCTCTCTTTCCCCCCCTCCTCCATTCCCTCCGTTCCCTCCTTGTCCACCGCCCAAGTACTACTACTGCTACGTGAACTTCACCCACTACCAACAACACCACCACCACCTCTTACGGTTGCCAAACACTCATCTACGAGCCCGCCCCGCTTCCACCTTTCCCCTCTCCTAGTTCCGCGATCGCGTTTTCTACCAATTCGTGATCAAGATCAAAGATCCCGTTGAATTTGCCCACTTCTGTCTTTTTTCTGCCGTTCCCTGGTTCCATTTGATTTTCTCAGATCGACATACATCACATCCTTGCAATCATCAGTCAATCCTTGCCGACTTGAGAAGCTAATATGGATTTCCAACGCAGCACCGCCGAACTCAAAGATGACACCGTCATTGTAGTACTAGGTGCATCCGGAGATCTTGCGAAGAAGAAGACTGTGAGTCACTCCGCGTGCGGGAGAGCAAAACTGATACAGATGCTGTATCGAAGACGGACATTGAAGCTGACAATCATTGTAGTTCCCCGCGCTCTTCGGCCTCGTATGTTGACAATGACCAATTTCAAGGCTGTCCTCGAAATAGTCCCCCGAAACTAACCGCACCTGCAGTACCGCAACAAGTTCCTGCCCAAGGGCATCAAGATCGTCGGCTATGCCCGGACAAACATGGATCACGAAGAATACCTGAGACGTGTGCGCTCATACATCAAGACTCCCACCAAGGAAATCGAAGAGCAACTGGATAGCTTCTGCCAGTTCTGCAGCTACATCTCCGGCCAGTACGACAAGGATGACTCGTTCATCAACCTCAACAAGCACCTCGAGGAGGTGGAGAAGGGCCAGAAGGAGCAGAACAGAATCTTCTACATGGCGCTTCCCCCCAGTGTCTTCACCACCGTCTCCGACCAGCTGAAGCGCAACTGCTACCCTAAGAGCGGCGTTGCTCGCATCATCGTGAGTCATCCATGCCACAATCGTGACCGGCGAACCACCACTCACATCTTTCGTGTTGTACTATAGGTTGAGAAGCCCTTCGGTAAGGACCTGCAGAGCTCGCGCGACCTCCAGAAGGCCCTCGACCCCAACTGGAAGGAGGAGGAGATCTTCCGTATCGACCACTACCTGGGTAAGGAGATGGTCAAGAACATCCTCATCATGCGCTTCGGAAACGAATTCTTCAACGCCACCTGGAACCGCCACCACATCGATAACGTTCAGGTATGATGTTCTGCGGGTTTCGCCGGTCTTTGTCAGTCGCTAAGATTCTGCGGTTTAGATCACTTTCAAGGAGCCTTTCGGCACTGAGGGTCGTGGCGGTTACTTCGATGAGTTCGGTATCATCCGTGATGTCATGCAAAACCACCTGCTGCAGGTCTTGACCCTGCTTGCCATGGAGCGCCCTATCTCCTTCTCTGCTGAGGATATCCGTGACGAGAAGGTAAGCGTCTTTCTCACTCGCATCGGATTCCATGACTGATTTCATCTCAGGTCCGTGTTCTCCGTGCGATGGACGCCATTGAGCCCAAGAACGTCATCATCGGTCAGTACGGAAAGTCGCTGGACGGCAGCAAGCCTGCCTACAAGGAGGATGAGACCGTCCCCCAGGACTCTCGTTGCCCCACCTTCTGCGCCATGGTTGCCTACATCAAGAACGAGAGATGGGATGGTGTTCCTTTCATCCTGAAGGCCGGAAAAGGTACGCCCGTATTGGTAGCATGTGTCCGATTCTCGAGCTGGTATATTGACTTTGTGCAGCCCTGAACGAGCAGAAGACCGAGATCCGTATCCAGTTCCGTGACGTCACGTCTGGAATCTTTAAGGACATTCCCCGCAACGAGCTCGTTATCCGTGTCCAGCCCAACGAGTCCGTCTACATCAAGATGAACTCCAAGTTGCCCGGTCTGTCCATGCAGACTGTGGTGACCGAGCTCGACCTCACCTACCGCCGCCGCTTCTCCGACCTCAAGATCCCCGAGGCCTACGAGTCCCTGATCCTCGACGCCCTGAAGGGCGACCACTCCAACTTCGTCCGTGACGATGAATTGGACGCCAGCTGGAGAATCTTCACCCCTCTTCTGCACTACCTTGACGACAACAAGGAGATTATCCCCATGGAATACCCCTACGGTATGTGTACACCTTGAATCGGTAAATTCCCCGTGCGATCACTGACAGTTGATTCAGGATCCCGTGGACCCGCGGTTCTGGATGACTTCACGGCCTCTTTCGGCTACAAGTTCAGCGATGCCGCTGGCTACCAGTGGCCCTTGACCTCTACCCCCAACCGGTTGTAATTGATGGCATAGCCATCAGGACACGCTGAAGGTGGGAGTGGGGCCTCACGAACGAAGTAAAATGTCAGACTAAGTTATGAAAAAATGTTAATGCTATGGGGCGAGATCTACGGCAAGACCGGACATGTGGGTTGATATGACAGGAATGCAAGCTTCACGGTACTGTTCATCGGTCGGTCGGGCAATGACTGGAGTTACTGTTTACCACCCCTCCTATTTCTTTAGAAACGAATGCAGAGCACGTTACGAACCATATGAGTCTGGTCTGGTCATGGTGTGGTGGTGTAGGTCGGATCAGGTTGGCTGTCGCAGAATCGCAGAAATGCTGGCGGAAGCAATAGAGTGAATTAAACCTGACAACATTCCCGCAGCCCATCCAGGTTCTAGAACCAAGCTGTACGGATGCATATCTCCTGGCAGGCAGACCACATACCACGCTTCGGATAGCTAAGCGAACGGAATCATTCATTGCCTAGCTGGGCAATTGAGCGGCGGCAAGGGAGCATCCTGCGAAGCTGAGGTCTGTAAATGTTCCCAGTTCTCCGCACTCTTCCGCCCAACAATTCCTGCAACCACCGGGTTCAAGGCTCATGGGAATCGAGCCGTTCCTGAGATGACTCTCCGAGATGGACCCTGGAACGGCGAAGGAAAACCCCACTATGGTATGAGGATCACAATTTAACGCAGCTGTCAATCGTCCTGATGGTTGAGCCCTTAACCAAGAAGGGTTAAGGCCTGTTATTCCTATGTCGTGTAGGGAGGGAGAGAAGCTGGAAAAGGAGGGTCAGTTGTGCAGCAGTGCCCGGAGGGGATACCCGGAGGATGCCCAGCGGGTGCCCAGCGGGTGCCCAGACCTCCAGGGGTGCAATCTAATCCCTCCAGGTCGCGTGCCTTGCTCTGCTCTGGGGGGCCTGGCAGTTCGTAGGATATGTACACAGTATATGAATAGTAGCAGCAGTGGGTCTCTTCAGACCAGAACAGACCAGACCAGACCACCCACCACGACGGGCCGGGGGCCCGCATGCGTCCGTCGTCTTTGGCTGTCCTGCCGCTGCCGCGTCGTCTTTCTTGCTTGCCCTTCACAGCCCGGGGGGCCTTCTTCTTCGTCTTCTTTCTCCTTCTCTTTTTTCCTTTTCTCTCCCTTGTGTCCTCTCTCATCTTGACCCTTTTCTTCTCTCCCTTTTTTTCTCACGATTTCGATGCTTTTCAGCCAAACTCAAATCCATCACACTCCCACAGAACTGAATTTCCATTGACCGCAGGCATATCGCGCATAAGACTACGACCCTCTTTTCCCCGCAGCTATACTCCCGTACCTGCTACATTTTTGCCGGAGCTCCGCACTTGGAATACCACCAAGTACGAAACCCTTTCCGGCTATTTTTAAAAACGACCAAAAACCGTGCGACAACCAACCTCATTTCCCCAACCACTGCCTTCTTTTTTTTTAATTGATTCGTCCTAAACCTCTGTGCTTCTTTCGATCGATTGTTCCAGCCTCGAAGGATATATATTCACCACGCGCGACAGTTTGGGGAGCCTGTCGACGACATTGTCCTCGGCCCGATCTCAGACACGGAGTGAGTTGAGTGAGCGGGCGAACCAACGCTGGTTAATGGAAAGCGTTACACTTGGTAGAGCACCGGGGCGTCACAGTGCATGCGCGCAATTTAAATTTCCAAGATGCCTCAAGCTGCAAGATGGGTGGGTTCTCCCTCAATCCGAGGACGAAGAGAATGGGTGCGCATGGTGCTTTTGACTTTCAGTCTGCTGGGTTTACAGTGAGTGTTTTCCCCCCTCCCCTAAGGAACCGTTCTCCGCCATTTCCGCCCGCTCGGGACAAGGAATACAGCAATAGCAATCTATCTGACTTGCTTCTTGTCGCTCGCAGGTTTACATGGGGCATTGAGATGACATGTACGTGATTTTTATGGGGGCAAAAACCTTCGCAAGCGTTTCTAACTCGTTCGTGCGACTTAAGATTGCACGCCCTATCTGCTTCAGCTCGGCCTCACGAAGTCTAGGACGTCGCTGGTCTGGATTGCTGGTCCGCTTTCCGGGTTGATCATACAGCCGCTTATTGGTGTGATCGCTGACCGGTCTCGCTTGAAATGGGGTCGGCGGAGACCATTCATGCTCGTGGGATCGGTGGTGGTCGCAATGTGCCTACTGCTGTTGGGGTGGACAACGGAGATTGTCAGGATGTTCGTCAAAGATGCCGAGAAGGTACCTGCTTTGCTCCTGTTTTTTTGGTGGCATGCGACGGCTTAACATCTTCCTAGGCCAAAAGCACTACTATCGCCATTGCCGTTCTGAGCATCTACGCGGTAGATTTTGCAATCAATGTTGGTATGTGCTGACTTACCCTGCATCGAGCTTTCCTCGGTTAACCGCACAGCAGTGCAAGCGTGCTGTCGCAGTCTCATAGTCGATACGTTGCCGATCCCGCTTCAACAAACTGGTTCAGCATGGGGTATGCCTCCTCTCCTTGCACTACCAAGACTGAAAACTAAACCTCAGCAGCAACCCGGATGACGGCCATTGGACAGCTTATAGGTTATGTGATCGGCTCGATTGACACTGTCAAAATCTTTGGGACTGCTTTTGGCGATACGCAATTCAAGCAAATGACGGTCTTTGCTGCGTTATCTCTAATAGCGGCAGTTTCTGTCACATCCTACGCGGTGAAGGAGCGAGTCCTGATCACAGCAAGGTACCTGAAACATAGCACGGTCTCTGAATCGTTACGCTTACTGATAACCAAACCTTAGGGACTCCGATGATAAGGCCGGGGCGCTACAGGTGATCTCCCAGTTGTGGAAAACAACAATGGAGCTGCCACCGCGCATTCAAGCGATTTGCTGGGCCCAATTTTGGGCCTGGATTGGTATGGTGCACTTTTGTCTCTGTTTATCAAGATGCTATTCTGATCGGAATGTATAGGCTGGTTCCCGTTCCTGTTCTACAGCACGACATGGGTTGGTGAGACATACTTTCGCTACGAAGTTCCCAAGGATGCGGTACGCCCAAGTGATATGCTAGGAGAGGTCGGTCGTGTTGGCAGTTCATCACTGGTTGTCTTCTCATCCATCACCCTTTTTGGAGCTGTACTTTTGCCGTTCTGCGTACAGCCACCAGACAACAAACGGCCGCGGTTCACACCACGGCCACCTCCCGGAATCGCCTCCCTATTGAAGAAAGTCCCCAGCGTCCGTCCGGACTTGCAGACAACGTGGTTAATCTCGCACATCATGTTTGCCGCCACCATGGTTTTTGCCCCCCTGGCACGATCGCGCGCTTTTGCAACATTTTTAGTCGCTCTTTGCGGTATCCCCTGGGCCATCAGCTGCTGGGCCCCTTTCGCCTTCATGGGGGTTGAAATCAACAAACTAGCCATGAATCCGTCTCCATCGTCCCGAGTGACCATGATTACGTCTTCGAGCATTCGTTCGGGCGGCTTCGCCGACCGAACAGCCACGGACACGGAAATGGACGTCCTCCGGCTCAACCACCACGATTCAGACAGTGACAGCGACGTGGAGGATGGCGGCTCTAGTGTCCCTTCGACAGGAGAGCTTGCGGGTATTTACCTCGGCGTGCTGAATGTATACACAACCCTCCCGCAGTTTGTGGGCACATTCATCAGCTGGATCGTGTTTAGTATCTTCGAACCGGGCAGCACCAAGCGCGACGACTCTGCGCAGGAATCGTCTCAGTGGATGAATCTGGATAAGAGCAGACCCAACGCTATCTCGATCTGTCTATTCATCGGCGCCATCAGCGCCCTCGTAGCTGTCGAAGCCACACGACGGATGCGCCACGTGATATGAGCTCATGCCCTCCAGCATTAAAGCACATCTTCATCCCACGCTCCCCCCCCCCAGCGAAAGATCTCATCCGTCGAAAAAGTGGCAAACCAGGTGAAATCCTGTACAAAACCTCTCAACGCGGTCGTCACATCTCACACATATACCCACGATTTCATTCTCCAATACCCCCTAATGCATAATGTTTTTATCTTCTTCTGCTCTACACATATCGACGCCGAAGCATCCAACCCCGGAAATGGCATGCATTGATACATACGCAACGATCTACACGATTATCTATCTCTTGCCCCCAACTCTTCCTCCCACTTGTCCAAAGATCTTTTGTTCGCAGAACCCACAAACCAACCATATACCGGCGGGACATGAGGTTCGACTGAATCCTTGATGGTCCTATTTCTTGTGCTGTTCCTATATACCGTTCTGTGCATGGACGTCAGTCAGGCTTGGATGACAGACATACTTCACGCCTTAGAGTTTTTGTAATAGATTTTTTCTGTCTGGCCTTGTTGTTTTTAATTTTCTCGACTGGTACTGAAGCTGAAGAATGGAAAGGTAGTGATTGGTGTGCTGCTGTTTGTTTCTGAATCTTGAGTTAGGGTAGGGATCTTCGGAGTAGGTTGGTTTTACTGTAAATAACGTGTGTTTGTACGATTAAGAGGTACAGTACCATAGCCCGGTTCTGTCTCAAGTAAGCGGGAGGCCATGACTTTCACCATCTGGAAACATATTGTGTACTGTATGTAGTAATCATTGAACGGTCAACCGGCATGGAGACTGAAAAGATGCCCGAGTAAGGTACAACAACAGTACACCTATACTCCCGGTGGAAGGTAAGCAAGCGGTGACGAATTTAGAGCTCAACTAACCACCGCTCCTGAAACAAGACGGCGGCGGAAACGTGGTGTACACCGATTAAGGTCGAAGAAGAGACGCACCAAATTACTCAGTATGATAGTAACGTTGCAAGTCATGTGATTGCTGGAACAAACAAGTACCAAATATGGTTCTCGCTACAAACAGATTGAGCTAGTCAGTCGAACACAAACTCGGGAATGAATAGCTGAACGCGAGTGGGAGATATCTAGATGCGCGTACAGACAAGACACCTTGGCATCCATCCAGACTCAATAGGATCAATACAAGCAGGAAAGGGATGATGGCCCTGGGTATGTAAGCGTAGGAGACAGAGAAAAATACATTAATTAAGAGGGTGTTTGTTTGTATGAACAGGCAAAAACTAAATCACATCAGATGCGCGGCGAGGTATATGTGCGGAAAAGACAACCAATATAGAAAGACAGTAGCAGAAGGTTAAGGCCGGAAGCATAGCATAACGAAAACGTTATCACGTGTGTTGGCGGATTCTAGGGCTGGTTGGCGGCTTGCATGTTGCCAGTCAGCTCGGCTACTCTGGCCTTGATGCGAGCAGCGCGCGTCTCAAAACCTACAAAGAGATGTTAGAAATTTGCTTGGAAAACGTTACAACTAGCACAAAGGTGACTTACTCTCTTCTTCGCTCGTGTTGTCATCGCTAGTGTAGTCGTTCTCCTTGCGAGCCTCCATCTGGGCGGCTCTCTCGGCGGCATTCTGGCGGATCTGAGCCCAACGGTCGTACGAGGATGGGACCGGCTTGGGGGGAGAGACAGGCTCGTCACCCGGGGCATGCGCCGAAGCATCGGTAAATTCTTCAGAAACAGGGGATTCGGGGACGAAGGCCGGCTGTTCCACTAGAGGGCCTTGATCGAATTGGGAGAATTCTTGGTCGGCAGCGGCTCGCTCTTTCGTGTCGATACGAGAGAGCGCGTCGTACTCGGCTTGGCGGCGAATCTTAGGTTGGTTGTCCGGCGATTCGGGGGCTTTAGAAGTCGGTACAGAAGCTTGAGTATCGGGAGCCATCTCAGGTTCCTTCTTCTCGACAACAGGCTCCACATCAGATTTCGGGGCCTCTACATTGGCCTTGGTAATCTCTGCAGCTGGCGCCAGCGGTACAGGCTTCTTCTTCAACGTATTGTTATTTGCTGGGCGGATAGGATGCTCCTGGGCTGCTCTCGCTCTATCCTCGAGGGCAGCACGAGCTGCTGCAACAGCCGAGCCTCCAGCGGGAGCGATCTTCACTGGGGGCTTGGGTTCAGGCTCGCTCTTCTTTTTGATCGTCCCGAACATGTTCTTGAACCCGGTGTTGCCCGTCTTCTTCTTGAGCTTCTGCCTGGATTCATCTGAATCCAATGATTGCTTGGGAAGAGACTCTGTCGTCGACAGATCAGCCGCAGCACTGGTGCTACCATTCCGACTAGCGTTGGGAGTAGAGTCGCTAGCAGGAATCTCTTTTCTGGGTACTGCGGGTTTGGGGGAGCTGGCCGGGGTGTCCTTAGGCAGAGGCGGGGGCGCCTGACGAGTGGTGCTCGGCGCTAGCGATGTCGGAGTGCTGGGCTGGTCATCTGTTGATTCCTTCACGTCGTCTGCCAAGGAACCTGTGCCCGCACGGCTGTTGCTCAGATAGGCGCTGCGGTAAGTATTCTTGTCATAATTGGTCGCCCATTTCATAGCCTGAGATGCCTCATTCATGATCGACGGCTGCAGAGTCATGATGGAGTTCGTCTTGGTGGAATATCGCGCATCTTGGGGCACGTTGGTTCTGGCGTTGGCAGCTTCTTGCTCCTCACGGTGTCGCCTTTGAAGGGCAGCGGCAGCCGCCTGAATGCGGGCATGCTGATCCGGAGCGATACTAGTCTTACTTGTCGGTGCTGTATTATCTGCTCGTTTGTAGGACTCTTCCATCGAGCTGACCTTCTTGGCCGAGGACTTGCGACGCGTAACACCCTTCTTTCGAGTAGAGAAGCCGAAGAACCGCTTCTTCTCGGCAATATATGCACCGGGATCAGGCTCAGGAGCGGCCCCCTTCACTTGTTCTTCCAGCACCAGCCACTTGGCATCTTTGATAATGGTCTCGAGTAACGCGCAGCGTCCGAATACCGCTTTCCGGTTGGTCGGTTCTTCACCCGCCAAGCTACTGATCCAAACCCACCAGAAGGAGTCATCCAGATCCAGAGTAGTGATGCTTGCTAGTTCAGCCGGCTCCGTTAGGGGTTCGTCATTCAAGCTGCGTTTGTGCGACTGCGAGCTCTGGACACGGACCGTAGACAAAGGAGGAAGAATCTTGTCCGGGGGCAACAGCAAGGGGCCACCGGGTCCTTTGAGAGCGGTCTCATCACCAAAGCCCGAGGACATGAAATCCGCCCAGGAAGGGGTGGTGGGCCGGCCCAGATCTCCAGTACCAGACTGGGGAGCGGATTTCAGGCTGCCAAAGTCATTTCTGGGTAGACTGAATTTATTTGCATCGTTGTTCGAATCCGACTCAAGTGCGCCTCCAAAGCCAAAATCTTCAAACCTTGACCACGAGGCTTCATCTCGGGTGGTAGTGTCCGAATCTGTCGCTGCGGACTGATTAGTTGAGGCGATAGATTTCAGTACACGGAGGCATTCGTCAGTGAGCGCGCGAACAGGGTCGTCAAAGCCAGCAAATTCCTGCAGGTGCCGGTCACTGTCTCTGTACTCGAAGTTCTTTGCGCGCCGCAGCAGAGCGAAGGGGGTAGGGGAGACAGTGTCAACAATCATCACCACCTTCGTTGTCGAGACCTGAAGAAGAGTGGGAGTCTCCGGCGGATATTCCGTTCCCTGAATCAAGCTCTGCAGAGCAATGGGTAGGGAGGAGATGGAGTTGATCCCACGGGGTTCTGGCGATAAGGAGCGTAGGTAGGCGAAAAACAGATGGCTTGTCGCATCCGCCGCGCTGAGGAAGAGTAAGCTTCCAGAGCCCTTGGTTCAATAAATGTCTCGCAACATACCTGGCCCAGTTCTTATAGGCGGCTTCGAAGCCAGTGCCTGTATCTGCGTGGTCAAAAGCCCACCATCCAGCATAGCGAGACAGTTTGCGGCCACCAAGGCCATTCGATTTACCATGTGCCGCAACAGCAGCGAGCAGGTCGAAGAAGTCGGTGATGATCTTCGCCCGAGCGTCTGAGTCAACACTAATCGGGATGAAAGTGGAGAACGCATCGCGAGCGAACTGAGAGTCTAGGTATGGTCAGCTGGCCTGATACCGGAGCCAGGGTGCCTCCATCGTCGCACCTTGTTCGCCAACCTTGAATAATTCATAAGCTTCCCAGGTCACGACACCACCTGGGAGTCTGCTCCAACACCATTTCAACACACTACATATGACCTATATCCATCAAAAGCGAAGAGTAAGAACCAAGTCGCGGTAGTAATCAGGACATTGGTTGAAGCCACTCACGATTGGGTCCGACAGCCGCAGATCTTGTGCCAATGCTTCTCCGTTTACCGGCGAGCCTTTCTCCACGGACTGGTTGAAATAGTTACGGATGAAGGTGCGTGCGGCGCTGGCGTCAGAGCTTGGGCGGAACGGTAGAAGAAGAAAGGGAGTTTGGAGAGCTGTCAAAGAAGAAGGAGGCAAGGATCAGCAAGTCGAGGAATGAACACAGGGGTGGACTAAATTTGGCATGGGAAGCGGGGGGTGGATCATCCGCCACAATGGAGGCCTACCTCGTGCTTTCAATTCCTGAGTACATCCGTGCAATAGCTCCTGGACTTCTTCTGGGGCAACTTCGGTTCGCTGCCACGCGTCTGTCCATGTGGGCTTTGCGGGGCCCTGATCTTCTACCTCGGAGGGTTTGGCGTTCTTCTTGGGGGTGTTGGCATCCTTACTGCGAAAAACGCGAGTAAAGAAAGGCATTCTGAACCGACACTTTTTGCGCGCCAGGTTTTCGGCGGGCGGACGACGCGATCCTCAGAGAAAGATAACCGGGGAGTGGGAGGGGAGGTGGTTCGGATAACAATGCCCAACAGCGGAGGCGCAGGAGGGGCGTGTAACCGGGGGTCACTAGCGAGATCCGATAAGAAAAAGTTGCGAAATTAACTAGACGAGTTGATCACGAAGTATGGCTAGCAGGTACACGGTGCAAGATTTGAATGAGGCGGAG